TGGCATAAAATATACTCGAACTGTTGTCGTTGTTGTTGCTGATGCCGTTATTGCCATGGGCGTACATAAATTCGAGACAAATATAAACAAATGTCCAGAGAATGCGAGTCAGCAGCTGATTTATGAGCTGATAATAAAATGAAATTGTTGCTCATACGCCTCGTTGAACGAGAGCACAACAAGTGTGCGTATCGTATGGACTATCAAATAGTATGCTAGAGAGTAAGGCACTGGGGCATTGCCTGTCAGATAGGCACAACTTATAGCTACATTCTTCAAGCTACTAAATAACAATCATACAAATTCCAAGTTTTTGTTTTTGGTTTCTGAAAAAGCCTCAACATGGAGGCCAGCAGCCACTCAAACAGTGATAGTCGGGACGACAATAAGTCCTTGGATAGCTCCTTCTTCGAAACGCTGTGGCCCCTGATATTGGACGATAATCAGTGTCGAGTGGAAAGCGAATCCGTTGAATTTTTCATACCGCGCATACCATTCGATTATCTGCATTGGCATAGCATGCTGGCCAAGGTTGGCTTTCCGCTATATGAGCAGCCACATAATATGCGATGCTGCCAGGCCGCCAAGGACGAGGAGGACTTGGAGAAGTTGGCCGAAACTGAGGCCAATAAAGCCACTGAAGAGCTCAATGAAAAGGCTATTGGCGACTATCAGCCCACCGGCTCGCGTGGCATCGTGCGCATTGACAACGAGGTCAAGCACCAGTGCGAGGCGCAGGAGCATCGCCAGCGCTTGGCCTACTCCTTTGCCAATCGCGCATATCCGTGGACCATGCAAACACCAGTGCAGGAGATCAGCTTCCTGCTCACGGATGAGGTGCGCGATGAGTTCTTCTGCCCGATGGAGCGTGCCATCCTGGAGGGCATCTATCACTATGACTGCAAGCTTATGATAATTGATGCCAGCACTGAGGTCTGCGCCGACGACTTCTTGCGCTGGACAAAGTTCCGTCGATACGTCCAGATGCTGTGTCTGGTGCGCTGTCCGCGCGTCCAGCGGCACCTGCAGCTCCTCAACGTCTTCCACACGTTGATAATAGAGGAAAATATGCGCAACTCTTGGCACGAGGAGCTGCACTGCTCCCTCCGCACGGGACTCAAAGAGGCCACCAGATTGGAGCTCTTCAAAAACTGCGCCGATGCATTTGTTTTCATTTTCTCGCGTTATCGCGGTCTCTGCACCTGCGACACCTTCAAAATTTTGCGCCGCACTTGATTATTGGCAATCTAACTAACAAATTTATCTATTAACTTGTTGATTTAATACGAACGATGTACAGTATGAAAATTCAAGTTTGTGTGTGTTAAGGTAATTATTATCAGGATATAACAAAACAAGAAACGTAGCAACTCTATGCAGATCGTAAAATTGTTCCGGGATTTTCAATTAGGATTTCACTAGAATTTCACAATGTAATTCTTATTCGTATATTTTAAATTAAATTTTGAAGTTTTTAATTACTTTGTAAATGTATAAATAAATTTAAAAAATGAATCACCCAATTTTAAGTGCCCATTTTCAATTGGTTCAGAGTTTAAAATTGACAAATAAATTATATCATAAAATGATTAATGATATTTAAAACATATCTTATACTCAGTACATGCATAGCGAATAGTCAGAGTCGGCCTAAATTAATCTTTTTTGTTTGAGACTAGGCTAAGTTTTATAATAATAATACTAATGATTTATTGAACGGAAAATGCAAAACACTTCAGCTCATCTTAAAGTATTGATCCCTTTGGTAGGTAGTTCTGTAGTGGCTGCCTCTAATTAACCTATGGCGTAGCCCCGCAGTGGCAATCAAAGGCTTTCGAGTGCACACAATTTACGGGGCGCAGGCACTTCCTGCAGCTGGCATTGGGCGACTTGCATCGACTGTTAGGAAGCAATTGCAAACGCCTTGAGGAGCTGTCAAATTGGTCGGATATAGACGTCTCAGTGTGCTTGTTGAGGCATTCGGGGCAATGCTGGCGGCTGTCACGAATGCCAGCGGCGTCAACTTTGTCGGCCATTAGCCCCGAAACTTGGCAGCAAGTTGTTAGCCAAGAGGAGCCATATTTCATTTTCATTTATTATATTTGGCAAAGCGAATGAAATTTACGAGAAATCCGAACAAATTACCACAAAAGCTTTACAAACTTGAGCTGATTATAAAAGTTGGTGTGAAAAAAAGAAGCCCGAGCCAGAGCATGCCAGTGCTACAACAATGTCATCCAGCCCCAAAGGTGCCGGAATTTCGTTGCTCCAGCTAAACGTCGGAATTGGGTGCGTTTATATTGTTGTTAAAAGTTCTGCTACTTTGACAAGTACATACTGACACTTGCGTGTGTACCAGAATATTCAATATATATTTACATACAAATACTTTGCGTTACAGCATTAAAAGTTGCCTTCTGTCTGATATAATCTATAACTTTTCGTATAATAAGTGAAAATTGTGGCGTCAGTGAAAAGTTTTATCAATGCCAGGATTTTTGGTTAAGACCAGGAAAACGTGCTTTAAACTGGAAAATGCTGCGAGAAGGGGAATTTATTCAGTTATTCAAGCTGTATTTCCATAAAACTAGCTAATATGCAGGTAGCATCTGCGCCTCTGCCGTCAAACTCGTTTCGCTCAAATGCACTTATGCTGGCTGTTGAGAGCGCATCAGAGATGCACAGAGAGCACGGGGAGGCACCCCAGGGAGAGCCATATTCCAACCGGTTGAGATTAAAGTCGAGATAGTGAAAAAGAGAGAGAGAGAGAAGAGAGAAAGAGTGTAGTTTTTATTTTGTAAACAAAGTGCTGGCTGCCTTCATTCAAGCATCAGTATAATCGGACTATATGCACGTAGATAGCATGTGCTTTAGGTTCCAGAATACTATATATATTCAGTTTTCAAACTGACTTCACCTGAGGGGCCCAACGGGCAAAGCCCGAAAACCTGTCCTGATGGTGGCTTCGTCAGTCGCTCTTACGCTCGGGTATTTCACAGTGCGCAGAGAGCTAGCTGAGTGCTGGCTGGCGTTGTGATAATTCCAGCCTCATGGGCAATCGAGATGCTCAGTTCTCGCCCGACTGCTATCAGCGACAGTTCTGAAACGACATTCAATGGGCATCGTGAAGCGAACACTGAGCCTCGCGGCGCTAGCTCTTTGTCTGCGCCTCGCTCTGACGCAGCGTCTGCCACCCAATGGTTGCGGCAGCATTTTCCAGTATCGGCGCCAGGGCGATCAATGGATTGGCCACGTTACCCCGCCTCAAGATGGCCTCAAGAGCGTCAGCTGGACACTGCGCTTTGTGTCGCACGGCGTTAACACGGTACGTATGTAGGTAGACACAGCGCGTATCTGTGGCAAGACCCGTTTCTAACGTCATCCGATTGCACCTGCTCGCAGCCAGGCACGATAAGTTCCCTGGCACCGTATCCGAGCAAGGAAGTCGCTCTACAGAATATGCACGACGGTGGTCGGGCCGAGTGCTTCGTTCGCTTTACTGGCTACGGCGACGAGCTGCCCAAGATAGTGCGCATCGAATTGAACGGCCAAGTGCTATGCACAGCCAGCTCATGTGAGTAATCGAATCAAATTGATTAACGTCTCGAATTACGTAGCTTAGCAGTATTAATAACGCAATTATTATGGTATATTATTTGCAATGTGTAATTAGCCATATACGATCGATTAAACTGTTGCTCTTACAATATTGTTTTCAATCAATATTCACATCGATCTCATATTTCTTAGACGAAGGCTCTGCCACTACATCAACGCGGGAGCTGAACATGGCTGTCTCATCGACGACCACATATCAAATGCACGAGACGCCATCGCAGCCCCCAACGAGACTGCCGCAGTATAAACCGATAGATCCAGATTCATTCTTCAATCAGCTTGTGACTTATGCATCGGCTCAAGTGCCGACATCCACAAAGCTGAACACATTCACGACGACCAGAATCAGACCCACTGCAACGGCTAGTCCGACTACGTCCTTTGTAGTGAATGATAATCCATTTTTGAATTCGTTGGCGAGCAGAAGGCCTCTTGTCACCGTGGATACGCGGCATGAGCCGGCGGCGTATGAGTGCGGCGTGGAGGGTCTCGTCGGCCTACAGATTGGCGGCGAAACACTGCCCAGGGGCCGTTTCCCCTGGCTGGCCGCGCTCTATCACGACAGCAACGTGGATCCCAACAAGATTGAGCTGTCCTACAAGTGCGTAACGACGCTGATCTCGGCTCGCACCGTGATAACTGCGGCGCATTGCATCTACGGCTTTACGCCGGCTCAGCTAAGAGTTTATGTGGGTCGTCACGACATCAGCTTGCATCCCGAAAAGGATGCCTCCCTGATGGCCGTGCAGTCCGTGCACACGCCCCCGGACTTTGTGGGCAATCTGGTGCCCGATCTGGACGTGGGCCTCCTGGTGCTTACCGAGCGGGTGCAATACTCCACCTACGTGCGTCCGATTTGCCTGTGGCCCAGCAGCACCTCGCTCGGCATCGATGACAGCGAACAGACTGCTGTCGCCGGCTGGGGAATCGATGCGAACTTCAAGCCAACGCGCTTCCCCTCAACAGTCAACGTGCGGCCAGTGTCCCAGGAGCAATGTCTACGTGAGATGGTTACCGCCAAGGACTTCCTAACGCCCCGCACTCTCTGCGCGGGCAACAGCCAGGGGCATGGCCCCTGTCTGGGCGACTCCGGTGGTGGCTTGATGGTGCTCCGCAACAACCGGTGGTTCGTGCGCGGCATTGTCTCGCTGGCCCAGCGCTCTGGCAATGGCTGCGATTTGTCGCGATACGTCATCTACTGTGACGTTGCTCGACATCTCGGCTGGGTCGAGCGGAATATTGTGAGATGAGTGCCAACAAATAAGCTAACAAAATAAACAAAGAGCTGCCTGCTTATCTCCTAATAGCCACGCTTCTGTATAGTTCTCGTTCCGTTCTCTGTTTTCAATTTTCACTTTTCAGTTTGCAGTTTCCTCTCAGCACTTTTTACTCTCTAAAGATGCTCTATCGTAGATGTCGGCTTTATCAGCTCTAGAACGATGTAGTATTTCCAGTTTTCTTGCCATACTCGCTCAGTGGTGCTCACTGCTCAGCGGTGCTCGGTGCTCAGTGCAATTGAGCTGTCATTATCGAATGCAGTAATATTCGCCCACTGGCGCTTGTCGCGTGTGCATTCAATAACTAGACAAGATTTTAACTGGAATTGTTATTTGTTTTTAATTATCATTTTTTTTACGTTCCAATGGACGCGCAGCTAGCGCTGCTGCTGCTGCTATTGGCCATGGTGTTAATGGCTTCCGTTGCACAGCGCTTCCCGGAAAACCCATGCGCCCAGCATTTCCAGTATGTGCAGATTGGCATTGGCGCTTTTCAAGGCGAGGTGACGCTTGGCCTACCGAATGGTCTCAATCGAATCGATGTGCGATTCTCGCAGCGTGGCACTCACGATGTATGTAGTTATTCTATAAGCTGATTAGATTGTTGCGATTGAAATAGTGAACTGATTGTGCCACTGAATTCCAATATGACTTGACTGACAGCAATCTGCTGTTGGCGCTCTGCTGCCGTATCCCGATGAGGCCAAAGTCCAGGCTAATCCGGGAGCCGCCAAGTTTCGAGTTAGCCTCTGGCCGGATGCGTCGGGTGTGCTGCCCAAGCTCACGAGATTGCAACACAATAATCAGATACTGTGCAGAGCCAGCGAGTGTAAGTAAGCCACATTGCGATCTAGTTGGCCAACGGCAATGATATGCAGATTGCGTTTGTAGATAATCCGCAGAGTTTCTTCAACCGTTTCTTCGAGCTTCCAATCAAGGGATCACCATCGCCTCGTCGCCTGTCGCCCACGCCAGGCATTCGCAATTTTTCAGAGGGATCGAGCGATGTGCAGATTAAGACAGTAGTTCTTGATGGCGCAGAAGGATCGATATCTCGTATTCTAGGCGACCTGGTGAATGAGCAGTCCACCGCAGCCGATTGGTCGCCCAGGTCACCGGCAATAGTTGGCATAACTTCATCAGTGCCTCGTCAGATCTGGCCTACTCTACCAGCAGCAACAACTTCTCGAACTGCTGCTGTGCCTTGGGCACCAGTAGTGCCTGCACCGTCTTTCATTCCAAATCGCATTCGTGGAAATCCTCCCCCTGGGGTAGCTTGGCCTTCGTTTGTCTGTGGCCAGGAAGGCACGGGGGTGCCCTATATTCAACGTGGCATGGAGTTTCCTCGTGGCCGATATCCCTGGCTGACAGCTGTGTATCACAAAGAGTCCTTCTCGCTCGCCTTCAAGTGCGGTGGCTCGCTCATCTCGACGAGCTTAGTCATCACTGCGGCTCATTGTGTCTACAAAATAAGAGAGGATCGCGTCTTGGTGGCCCTGGGGCGCTATGACCTGGACAATTACAGCGAGGACGGTGCCGAAGTGAGAGACGCCAGTCGCATCGTGATGCATCCAGAGTATTCCTCGCGCCTTCAGCTGCAGCCCGATGCAGATATTGCGCTGATCACATTAGATAGTCCAGTCATGTGGGTTAAACCGCCTTTTGTTTTGATCGATTGTTTAACTCTGACTCATGATCTTTTCGTGTACTGAACAGCTTCAATGACATCATCAGTCCCATTTGCCTGTGGGATCCAGCTGAGAGGGATCCAGCCGAGCCCGAGATCGGTTCCATTGCCGGCTGGGGCACCGACGAGAACGGCAACTCAATGACCCGCTTTCCGCGTGTCGTCACTGCGAGGATAGCCACTGTGGGTGAATGCGCACGCCGTTGGAAGGTGCAGAAGATTCTGGATCGCACGCTCTGCGCTGGCAATCTGGACGGCTCCGGACCGTGTCTCGGCGATTCCGGCGGAGGCCTGATGATCAAGCGCAACAACCGTTGGCTGCTCCGCGGAATTGTCTCGCTGGGCGAACGCAGTACGATTGGCAATTGCAATAACAACAACCAGTATGTCCTCTATTGCGATCTTGCCAAGCATATGTCCTGGATTAACCAACACATACGCTAATCTCTGTGTATATGTATTATGTAAATTTAATAAACTCAGTACGTAAATATATGCTACAGCTGGTTAAAAGCGGATGCTTTGCCGTCTAATGTCAATAAATATATTAATATAAGTATTATTTTGTCGGCACGTTAATTATTTATTTTGCCTAAATTTCTTGTAAAGAATAAAATGCGCTAAACCTAAAAATTATTTTACATATGACATATGAATCTGATAATGATATTTATTTATAATAACAAAAAACTAATTTCAAAGAAAATTTAAAAAAATAAATCATTTAGGAACATCTTTAATTGCTATTAATAATTGGAAATATTTGTACATATATACCAAGCGAACAGAGGCAGCTGACATTTCTCGAAATAAATTAAAAATA